CCATCATGTTACTATCTTCTTACTTCGGTTACTAGTGTTGGTACAAACTTTCTCTTTCTTGAGAGATGGGTGAATTGGAAAAAGGGAGCTCTCTGCCACCCATGTCTTGAATTTGAATAACTTGGCTAGAATGAAAATTGCCGTCTATCACATGGGAACAAGTCGGTACTTTCTCGAGAAAATTGCCTTCATAAGAAGTTATACTACATAAGGAATTATGCGTTTTGTTCTCATCCCCGTTACTCATGAACCTTTGCTATGATGAATATTTTTGAATTCCTAACAAGAACTAAAATCTATTAAGAATCTAGAATCCGCAACTTCGTTTTACGTGTGAAAACACTCGCTTGGAGAAGCATACGAAATAGAATTTTATTAACTTAAAAGTTATAAAACTTATAAGTGTGCTGACTTTCAACTTTAAGATTCAAGTCATTTATCATGGTGGCAGAATTTCGAATCCGTTTCGGTTTGGATTGTGTTTTAAGGAAATTGGCCCACTGATTATATTTCTTTAACCTCAAATTCTAGTGATTCTTTCAAACTGTCATGAAAATCGCACTAGTAACGGCTATCAGTGAATTACTCGTTTTCATACTTTTTCTGTCATACTTTTTCTGCAGTCATAGTGACCTTGAAGTACTACTTGAAAATTTTGTTTCATGGTCACTGAGCAAGTGTTGGCCTACGTCTGTAGGACTTTGGGTGATCGTCACGTCTACCTCGAAGCTTCTTTGTTGAACAAGGTGGGTAAAGATGGAAAGCAGTATCTAGCGAGTGTAGAAAATTCATGTCTTTTCTCAGGTCAGCCACGAAGAAATCGGTTTGGCTACAGTCACAGCTCTTCGCCGAGGAGTCCCAGCTGTTGTCCCCAGTATCACATTCCTTTCTGGTGATCAATCCGAACTGGATGCAACGATATAAATGATATAAAGTGTTTGATTGGATATAAAAGATGTTTCCAATAAACGAGGTGTCATTTTACTGGTCTTGCATGCAAAGGGAAAAGACACTGAAGCGGTTCCCTTCCCCCCCCCCACACGCACACATAGAACACCCATATTTTCTTAGAAGGAGTAGGAGTACTTGGAGTGATGAAGTGGTGCACGGTTCTGAAATGTTAAGGACTTGGACACGTCGTCTCGCGATTGAGGACGTTGATCGCGGAAATCCACATTATGGCCTACCGTGCCAATGTGCGAGAGGACGGGACACATTCGCTCTGAACAAATCGTTGTTAACTAATTGGTTTTCTTTTTCCAATAAAGTGCGTTGCAAAATCATAAAACACCCCCAAGGAATTTAAATATCTCGAGTTCTAGATGACGTCTTCCATCGCAACCAATGATATCATGACCGCCTTTAGGATTTACCTATACTCACAAGCCACTAGGTTACCTGACTACTATTTCGTATTTTTATTATATTTTTTAATCTTAGCAGGTGCAAAGCCGTAGGACATCCTCTAGAATTCTCCATACTCCTGGCTTTTTCGATCAAACCAGCAACGATAGTACCACTTATTGCCCCTTCACCTGCGTCATAAGGACTTAGGAGGAAGAGGAGCGGGCTTAGAGCAGACCCTTGGTGCACCCCAACCGTGATGTTTATAACCTGTGCCAGGCTGAGAGTAGGGCGTACGGCTGCTTCGACTTCTTCGTACTTCTGAAAGTCGAGATATTCATATTTTTTGAAAGGAGTCTTATGATTTTTTAACGCACTGTACCACCATGAAATCTAGTGAGTTACATTCCTCCATTCCAAGCTACCAAAATGCGACGCACTTGCGGATTTTGTGGGCACGTTGCCAGCTTGGACAAGATGAAAAGAATGTATGTGCAGTCACGAAATTCGAATTTTATAATGACTGCCTCACTTTCATTAATGGGGCTCGTGGATAAGGATAGTGTGGACACTCTAGTGGACCACATTAGCAGAAACCACATCTACATCTGTCACTTTCATGTGGTGAAGGCGGTGAGTAATAGAGAGGACCTTTATATTCTGAATGCAATCATGTTTATAATGAGCAGGCCCAATTCCTGTGTGCCGAATTGGCGGTTTCTGGCAAGCGCATCCAACGTTACGAGGATCCATCAGCTAGTGAAGCACGGCCTACTACACCACTGCGGGCATACCGCCACATGTCGTAGACGTGATCAATGCAACCACCCATGTACTGCTCAACATTTTGAGTTATATTCGTAGTATGTAGTAAGGAATATTTGAGAATAATATCGCCATCACTGTCCGCAAGATGTGTGGTCGTTTATAAATGGGGCTCTTAAAAAGTACCATGGCTCAACGATTGTGGCCTGATCGCTGCGAGGAGGAGTATGTGGAGGTTTGCAATGGTGACGCGGACATTTCTGAGATTCCACTATATGATGAGCACAAGTTTAGGAAGGGTAGGAGGGTTTGCCTACGGCTGAAGTTGGAACATCGTGAAGAGTCGATCCCTGAACCGGAAAGCCGAGGACGTACCTGATGGTCGAGGATATCGACGAAAGTGATACCAGAAGCTCCCCTGGAAGCGCCTGAGGTTCAACTTCCGTTACTGTGCCTGTGAAAGTGCTAGCGAGCTATTTCAGGAGTTCCGAATATGACCCCCAGTATCGGAAATCCGCGACTGACAGCTTCCTTTGGCACAGAGAACACCTTGGCAGACGAAGATGCGGCTAATCGCCAGAAGTATTTACCGTCGTGGAGAAGCGAGAAAAACTCCTTGAGCCGTCTCCGTTCTGCCCCCCCGAGTCGCGGGTTCCGGTTAGGCCAGTACGCAGCCTCAGAGCTCTCGGTCTGCCTGCCGTCGTCCGCCTAGTATCCCTAGCAAAGGATTGGCTGCGCATCACAGATCAGACATCGCCATATCTCCTAGAGAAGGCAAAGATAAAAATAAGGGGAGAGAGGAGACTTTTGCGATTGAAAATGTCAGTGACTGATGTCCGTAAACGATGACTACTGTAAACGCGCTTTCAGTGCGACCGGTCCAGCAGACTTCGAGTAATATCACTGAGCTATCGTACGATTCGCCTAGGGAGGAAACTGGGGAAACGCTAGGGCCGTGCGAGACAAGGCAACAACATAGTTCTGGACTATGGACGTGAAGAAGGAAGCACACAAGCGCTAGCACAGGACACACATCCCCGAGACCTCGGAGTTTACAAAAGTTACAAGAGTCTTGCCAAGGCAGCCGTCACCAAGGCAAAGCACACCGAAGTGTTGCTACATTGTACGAAAAATTGGAGCGCAAAGCGGAGAAGCTCGTTATCAGAGTGGCCAAAAGCTCGGCAACCGAGCCAATAAAGACTCAGGTGGGGTGAAGAGCTCAAAGAAGAGCGGACAGCACCGTCCTGGAAAACCCCGCGCCCGAACTTAAAGCAACAGTTCAGGGAGGGTCCGAAAATTTCAATGCCACTACTACTGAGGGATACACGAGCCCTAGTGAAGAACATATGCAGTGGAAATAATAAACGAACTTACCTCAGAAACTCAAAAACAGGGTGGAAAGTCCCTCAAACATGGGTGTTCTTGGGGATTTCCCCAATCCCGCCCCCTTGCCGGCCGTCATTGGACGCGTCGGCAATCGTGCTCGTTTTGGGACCACAGGGAAAATTGATTGAAAAATGGAGCGCGTTTACAGCGGGCACGTTCAGACAACTCGTCCAACGTGCGTCTTTATCCATTGCTGAGCGGCAGAGGGAGAGTACCTGTCTAAGACCCTCCCCGACGTTTTTTTCCAGTTTTTCATACATTAATCGTCTGGTTTTCATCTATAACTTCATTTATTGTGGTTTCTTCCCGCGAAACCGTTCCTGAACTGTTGCTTTAAGAGGACGTGGGAAGAATACGATAGGCACTACTGAACGACAACAAAATGAAAGAAAATTCGAAAGGCACTGGAATCCTACGGGATGGGATGGATCACTCGGTCA